ACTCTCCATGGAATGATGTTTCTATTTCATACATGCCGAGATGTTTTCTTACTAACCAATACACTTCAAAGATTGGAAGCGAACGACCGTGAAAATACATCGTTTGTCCAATCAGAGAAACAAACGATAGTGCTTCACACTGTAAATCTTAGTATGTACGGCGATAAAGGTGCGTTTGAGATTATACGGATTTGATCACTATGATACCGTTTTGCCTTCGCTTTATCAAAAGCTTGCATGAGGAATAAAGTTCATTTAAAATATCACGAGATACAACGTGTAGAATATCTCGTGTTACAGACGTTCTCGGCACGCGATGCGTCAGAGTTTAATGTATATGAAGAAAAATTCGTAAGTTCAAGCTTGATGTTTACAAGCACGTGCACGAAAAAAAAATAAGCTCTAATTCCTCTTCGCGTAGATGCACGTGCACGGGAAACAAAACCTCTAATTCGTAGATGCACGTGCACGACAAAAATAATCTCGAATTCCTCTTTGCTTAGATGCACGTGCACGGGAAACATAAGCTCTAATTTCTCTCACTTTTCGTAGATGCACGTTCACGACGAAAATTAAACACTAATTTCCCTCACCTTTTCCAGATGCACGTGCACTGGAAATATGAACTCTAATTCTTCTTCCATTTCGTAGATGCACGTGCACGACGAAAATTAAACTCTAAGTTCCCTCACCTTTTCCAGATGCACGTGCAAGACAAAAATAAATTCTAATCTCACTCACTTTTCGTTAAGTCCTTCAATCGACACAGTGGAAACACATTAAAGAGGACTGTATATCAACGATTACTGAAAATTTTCAGTTAAACAAAACACTTCTGAAATTAAACGACAAGATATTCGACATTTGTTATTTTCCATAAACCTCTCTAAAAATTATGACGGAGTTCTTTTTCTTCTCCGAGTATGCCTTTGTTATTCACTAAAATAAAATTATCTTTCAACATCTGTCTTCAAAAGCGGTGTCGTTCGCACCAATCAGATTGCGCTGGTATGTTGCCCGCAGTAATTAGGTTCTAGAGTGTACGTTGAAGGCACCATTCAGATTCGTGAGTGTATGTTGCTCGCACCAATCAGAGTTCTAAGAATATGTTGCGCGCACCCGTCAGATTCTTTAGAGTATGTTGCAAGCACCCATCAGATTCCGTAAAGTATGTTGTGCGCGCCTATCAGATTCCTTAGAGTATGTTGTGCGCACCCATCAGATTCTTGAAAGTATGTTGCGCGCACCCATCAGATTCCTTAGAGTATGTTGTGCGCACCCATCAGATTCTTGAAAGTATGCTGCGCGCACCAATCAGATTCTTTAAAGTAAGTTGCGCGCACCAATCAGATTCCTTAAAATATGTTTCGTGCACCCATCAGATACCTTAGTGTATGTTACTCGCACCAATCAGATTAGTTATAGTATGTTTCGCACACCGATAAGATTCCACAGGGTACGTTACTCGAACCAATCAGATTTGTTACATTGTGTTGTTCACATCAACCATTTGAACATATTGCTTTCACCAACCAGATATTACCAAAAGGGTTTGTTTGCTCGCCCCATTCATAATGCAGTATTTAGGTTTGTTGCATTTTGTTCAAGTAATAAAGAACTGCCGACATGGCCGACGCTCAAAGGCCAATTTTTTATTTGTATCAAATGAGATCATCTGGTGCCTGTTTTGCGTCTAACTGCAGAAGTAATAAAGAACTGCCGACATGGCCGACGCTCAAAGGCCAAATTTTTATTTGTATCAAATGAGGTCATCTGGTGCCTGTTTTGCGTCTAACTGCACAAGTAATAAAGAACTGCCGACATGGCCGACGCTCAAAGGCCAATTTTTTATTTGTATCAAATGAGATCATCCGGTGCCTGCTTTGCGTCTGAACGACAGCGCTACCACAGTATCAGTGAAAGCGTTGTGCTTATTTTTCACGTACAACAAATAGTTTATTTTGCTTACTGGTTACTCGCATGGCAAAGGTTAAAAAGAGCGGTTACATTTATTTCCTGCATCGGCTGCCATCTTGATTAAGGATCCGTTTCCTTGCCTATAGAAGTCTTCGGTGATATATTTCTTGTATCCAAACAGCATTTTTCCGATACAGTTACGAAATCATATCTCACTATTAATTAGGCTTGCACATACCCCGTATCATGACATTCCCCAGCAAACAACCTAAACATAAAAACATATCCCACCCCAGTCAAAATAAATTGACACGGGCCAAAATGCTATTTTGAGTCAATTTCCCACGCAACTCTCAAGAGCTATGACGTTTTCAACCAATCAGATTGGTAGTTACCTTGGACTTTATATCGGTGCGTGTCAGTTCCGTATAGACAACTTCGTTTTCCTCACGTATGTCTTACGCAGAGGGCAAAGACTAGATAGGCAACCGCCATATTGTTACGCCCAAGTGAAAACCTTTGAAATATGATCAGCCATTTCTCTTCTTCAAGGCATTTTTACTTATTCGAAAACAGATATCGGCAAATATATTTGGTGAGGGACAAAAATAGAGTTTTGGTTTTAATTTCCGGAGTAAACTAGGTCAGACATTTTGTGGCAAATAATTGCCACATTTAGTAAATGTCGGAGTAACGGAGAAAATTGTTGGATCAAAATAATAAATTTTTGCCTGTCAATATTCAAATAACAGAGACGACAAACCTCTGCAATGTGTCTATCGTCTGAAGTTATTTTAAGAAAACTCGGAAGAGGTTTGCACCAAAATAATGCGATGTTTTCGTTGAAATTCTTTGAGAGGCAATACTCTTTGTCATTTACAAAAGAAAAACATCAGTTTCATGAAAAGTCTTACATCATAAAAATACCAATACCCATACAAATAACGCTTATGTACGTATCGAGCATTTAGGGTCGAACGTACTACTGAGTCACATGGGAAGTTGAGTTTACTTCCGGTCGCCCCGTGATTGGCCGAGAAAACGCACGCCTCTCTCTCAACCAATCACTGGATGCTGTAAGGAAGCAGATTAAGGAAAGTGAAAGAGGAAAGGGAAAAGTGTCGTAACGTTTACAAACCCAAAAGCGATAGCTTTAACGATAATCCATAAACAAGCGTAGGGAATGGCTGCAAAGCTCCCATGCTCCTTAGCGTTTCATTTTCCTAGTTATCCATGAATGAAATTGTTATTGGGATCATCCAAAAGGGAATTTTAAATATCGTAAAAATTTCTAAAGGAGAAAGTGTTAGCGTGCATTTCGATGCAGAATTCCGGAGAAATTTACATACTGACCAAATTTTGATTTACGTTGCAGTTTCTTGCTGTTATTAGTTCTGTAAGTTTAGGAGGAGAGAAGATAATTCATGAATAGAAACCAAAAACTCTTGAGAGATTTGTTGTTTTGCTCTGTGACTTACTTTCTACTTGATGTTACGTTTCTATCCATGAAATTGCCGTCGTTATTGCAACAAAACCCTCTCTTTTTCCTTCATAGTAACATGAAAGCCGGTCTTCTTTTGCATGAATGCATAGTTTTAACAATTATATTGACATGAGGCGTTGTTACTATTTGTCTGGCGAATCATTTGGTTTCCACGAGTTTCACTCTTCGTTCGAAGGTTTCGGTCAATCAAGCAATAAATCTTTGGAAACGTTGTCTTAAACTGTTACATAATTGCTCTAACGTCAGACGTGTAAATCAAGTGAGGCCAGGTAAGCTACGATATGGCCTCACTTGATTTACACGTCTGACTTTATAACACTATGCTACTCAAGGACAACATCCAACGTTTGATACTGCTCTGACGTTGTATTATAAACAAAAAGGTTCAATTCAGCAGATATCCTGCACTTATAGCAAGAATGGCAGCCAAGATAATTTCTGAGAATTCGTTTGGGAGGTGTTGAATTGTCTGGGAGATGGGGCCGGGTAACCATCATTTTTCTCACCGTCTAAATCGAATGAGTGAAAATCATTCAATCGCTGCTAGAAATTAATCGACGTCATGATTAACCTAAACAGTTCGACTGAAACCCAAACAGGAAACTTTAGTGAAGGAAGCAACTTATGCGGGTCAAATTCATTTTCCTAGAGTTCTCCTCAAAAGAGCGACACTAATCCGAAAGTTAGACAATACCTTTCAAGATCAAGAACAGAACTCACTGTTGTGTTTCTCCGGCGTGTGGGCCAAACCTTGATCGACCTTAGACAGTAAACAAAAACCCTGGACAATAAAAAAACCAAAAACACCTTCATAAAACTCCAAAACAACTCACAGTTCAATGTTCGATGCCTTGAGGCAGTTAAAAAAAATCTTGGCCCCCAGGCGGAAAAAAATTAATTGTTCAGAAAACCTTTGGAAGATGACGGAATTTTTGCCAGATGTTACTTTTTATTCAGATCATTCGCCAATATTTCATTGCTTTTCCACCACCCATCGGATTTTTTAGATATAGTTATATCTGCGAAGACTGTCGACTTTCCTCCATCAAAAGTATAAATTTGTGCACAATCCTAGCATATTTAATTACGTAACGTGTTGGGATAGTTAAAAAAATTTCCCCCAAAATAAAAATATTTGTCCGCGTGCAAAATCCTTGTTTATGACGGCTTAAAAAAAAGTCATAAAACCGCACGTGAATTAAATCACCTAATTCCGCAGAACCTTGAGTGACCGGGAGCTGTTTTTAATCTAACCAATCACGAACGAGCTTCTACTAGATCAGTAAACACAGTGACGATTCGAGAGACAACTAAATTAATTTGTAAAACATTTGAGTTTCCGAGTTTTAAAAACCTGAAAGAAAGTTCTTTTTTTCCCTTAAGTACCTCCAAAATTATCTTTTCTAAATTTTGATGTCGCTTTTACAAGAGGGATGTTGGAAAATAGATCGTAAAGAAACATTTTACTAAATTCATTCTTCAGATGAAAGTGGAGAATCTCCTCACAAACAACAACACTTCCGGTTTGCGACCTTGAATGCACCTAAGACGCACCTTAAACGTGCCAACATGGTTTACGCTCTTAAAAAGCCACCGTCTAAGCAATTTTGGACATAACTTTCTTCGAGCTCAGTCGATGTCAGCGAAACAGTTCTAGAATTTGAAGAGAGAAATTAATCTACAAAGGAAAATTTATTGAGGTAAGAGAGCACTCCTCGTTCGATTGCACTTAAACATCGTTTTGCACGTCGTTATTCAGCAGAAACGAGGACTTGATAAGTCTCGTTGGCCGAAATAGTTTTACATCTGAAGGATGAACTGTGTTACGCAATTGACAGTTTATTTATCTACTCTATCTGGAAATGTACTGTTATGGATCTCTCATGATGAATTTGTCAATCGTAGAAGAGTCATTCCAAAATAATTCTGTTTATTTTAACGACTGGGCTTATAATTACACAGATTATAAAATAAAATTTAAAAAATGACAGTTTTTCTAGTTTGGTAATGAGAAGTATGCAAACTACCACAGTTCTTACAGAAAAATGTAACTTCAACATATTAATTAGCCCCAGTTACAAGATAATTTCGCGTGCAAGGTCTCCAAATCTGGATTTATACAGTGCAAATTGTGTTACTCGGTATGAACAAAATTATGCAAGAAAGTTTATTACTAATTTTTGATGCAGATTTTTTTCGTGATGTCAGAATTTTTTTGTCAACGACGACGCTTCTCATTTATTGAAAAGCTAGATTAATTTGCCTACTTTTCTTTGCAATATTGAAGCTTGTGGTTTTTGTTACCTGCATGGCTTTTCCCTGGCACGTAACGCCCATAAATAATTCATTGCGTCAAGCCTCAAATTTTCTGCTGCTCAGTCGCGGGAATATATAATTCCAATTTTTTAAATCTATACATTATTTTCAGAGAGGAAATATGGCTCCTAGAAGTTCAACACAAACAGAAACACTCGTAGTCGAGCCCGATTCAAAGATTTGCGATGACAACAACCGGAAACGAACCGAACGGGAAATTGTACGGTTCAATGTTTACTTCATGATAGTGCTGCACCTGATGGCAGTATACGGCATTTATCTTTTACCTAGCGCAAACCCGCGGACGTGGCTTTGGACGTGGTTATGTCACTTCATTGGAGGACTTGGTATTACAGTTGGTGTTCACAGACTTTGGTCTCATCGTTCGTTCAAAGCAACTTGGCCCCTGAGACTTGCTCTGATGATGATGAACTGCATCGCTGCACAAAATGATATTTTTGAATGGGCGAGGGACCATCGTGTTCACCATAAGTACTCCGAAACCGATGCCGACCCTCACAATGCCAAAAATGGTTTCTTCTTCTCGCACGTCGGATGGCTGTTGGTTAAAAAGCACCCTGATGTCATTTCGAAGGGAAAACAGATCGACCTGAGTGATTTGTACGACGATGGAATTGTCATGTTCCAACGAAGGTATCTTTGCTTCACTGTTTCATAATACGTACAATTTTAATTTCTTATTCCCCATAATGCGTCAAAATTAGGATACATTGCACCAGTCAGCATCATGAGTTACAATTCTTACTGAAGAGCGCAGTGAATGTCACCTCTTCCTAATGGTAACAGTTCGCATTACCATACATGGCATATGGCTTATTTTTCCTTATGGTCTCTGATTTGGCAAAGTTTAAAAAGAACATAAAGTATTACGTATTCTCTGCGTAGACAGCCATGTGGAATATATGTTGATTTGCTTCTGGAAGTTCTCCATAATAATTTCCATATTCTTCTGTCGTTATCTGTCACTCTTGAGGAGGTTTTGTTCCATTACATAACCACCCAAACTTTATTGGGTGTCCCCTCCTGGTGTGCAAAGTTCACATCAGTTAAACAACACAGTAAGCTAATTTTCCATGCATTCTTTTATTTTCCATGCTTTCTCCTCAATTGTCAATTTATTCCCTGCACCAATCTTAATTTTTTCAAACTCTTGTGGTCTAATTAATTGATACAAATTATCTTGTGTTAAACTTGAAAGTAATCAAGTTAGAAACTGAGGTTATTGATTGGAAATTTATTTGAATTGTCTTTAAAAGGGGTTGTTTACTACTGAGAAAAAGCAATATAAAATTTTCTTTGTCCTTGATTTGATGATCATGACACATTGCGTTAAAAATTTTTTTATATTTTTTCCCTAGAAACTACAAGTTACTCGTGGTAATTTTCAACATTGCAATACCAATTGCTGTACCATGGTTGTTCTGGAATGAAAGTGTCTGGAATGGCTTCTTTATTTGTTATGCACTCCGTTATGTCGTCACTCTTAATGCCACATGGTGTGTTAACAGCCTTGCTCATCTCTGGGGATCAAAACCATATGACAAGGGCATTAATCCTTCTGAGAATTTCTCTGTTGTCTTGGCAACTGGAGGAGAAGGGTTTCATAACTTCCACCACACATTCCCACAGGACTATGCTACAAGTGAGTTAGGTTTGCGATTTAATCCCTCCAAGTGGTTCATTGACCTTTGTGCAAACCTTGGACTGGCATATGACTTGAAAACTATCTCAAAAGACACCATCTTAAAGCGAAGAATGCGCACTGGAAATTTACAGCATCTTAAACATCATGATGACTAAATGGTCTGATTTACATTACCATAAACAAGCTTCATGACTTTTTTGCTAAGTGCTTTCTCTCCTCTGGAAGAATTAAGCTTCTAGCTTCAAACATCAAAGGCATTTTTAATGCTGTGTGATGCATTATGCCATCAAATTCTTTATTTTAATAAGTTCAGACCAGTGCTTAGTTTTCTAAAATATATTTGTTTCACTAAGCTAAGCGTGGAAATTTCCATTTAACTGCCACTTAAAATTGAGACAAATAACAGTTTGCTTTGATTGAAAAGCAAAAGTTAAGTTCAAGTTAAAAGTTAAGTTTCTAGAATTTAATAAGGATTCAAGAGTTTTTTCCAGTATGTCTTGTGAGGTGAAAACTTAGAGATGATTAATTATTATAGCTATATGTTAATATTTCTTGAACTGATCATTTAAAAAGCATAAGAGCTGTCTTAAATATATCAAACAAAGTTGCTTGAAAGCAAATGATTCACAACACAATTACTTCTTAAAAAAAAGCTTCTCCCTAAAGACAAAAATTAATTAAATTCTAGTTATATATTACATAGTGCATAAATGAAGCACTGTTAATTTAATATAATGTCAGAAAGTACTCACTGGCACTTAATCGTAGATGTCACTTTGACCCACTATCTCCCCTCCCCTCATAACAATACACACCTAAATTTGGGGAAAGGTGCTTTACCAAGTCAATTAAGACCCCCCTCCCCTAGGTAGAATTTATAAGGTAATACCTATAATAAGTATGCTTTATTTAAAGATTTTTGGGCCAAGGTGCATGGTTTGGGCAAATTAAAACAACATTTTTACCAAAGTATTTGTGTTTTTCACATTTTCAATACATGACAATAATTGTTGTCCTGTAGTTTTTTTTTTACTTATATGATGAATACTTGTAGTGAGACAGTCAGTTCTGCAAGTCAATAATATTGCACAGTTTATTTCCGTAAACAATTTTCTCCAAAAAATTATTTAATTAAGTTATTGTGCAGGCTAAGTGAAATGAGTAGAGTCAACACAATCAAACCTGCCTTAATCATTCAAGTGGGTGTAAAAATAAACAGCAAAGTTGCCAGTGCATTTTGAAAATTAATTAATATATTACCCATGAATGTTATTGAAAAAAGATCAAATAAATTATATTGTTTATGAAAAGAATATCTTCTTGTTAAGTTACTGCTGTTTGTAGTTTTCAAAATCCTATGAAAAATTGTTTGTCAACCTTTTCACTCTCAAGATCTAAGTGGTAAATCTCCTTATTGTTTGACATGCAATTCTTGTGATGTTAGTTCAGAGAATTTGGTATTGGATCAACCAATCATTTCTTTAATTGATATTTTTCTTTATTCTCATCGCTTGTCTGCTTGATATTGTATTAATATTATAAGGAGAAATTCTTTCTTGGTCATTCATATGCTTTTCATCTTTCCCATCCCCTTATCCACCAGAAAATCAAGTTTATAGATCATTGTAAAATGAGTGAAAATTCTTATTAAGGATGTCTTACGTAAAATCGTTTGTACGCGCGTCCCTGTCACTAAAATTCTTTAAAAGACATCACTGTTGAAAGAATAAAATGTAGAATCCGAAGGAATAATCATCGAAATAAGGGTAAGCGCGCGCAAGCTCTTAACCCCAAAATTATCGATTTTTGATCAACTGAATTACTTACCTTTGGGTTCGCAAGCAAGTCCAAATAAACTGCACGGTTCCAATTAGCAGTTGATGGACTGCAAAAGCGCGTGAAGCTTTAACCGTAATCACATTGTTTGCCGAGAAAATCTATTTTGACATCCGCCAAAGGAATATCTGGCGATCCCCGTCACACAAAAAGGCATGAAAAGAGAATTGGTTGGATTATCAGTAAAGCCTGGCACTCTTTAGAACGTTAATATCTGGTTAGCATTTTGGTCAAATTTCGTAAAATCCTTAAAATCTACACACCCCATTAATTTGCTCGACGAAGGGAAACCCAAACACGTTTAATATACAACAATTTTTACTCTATTAATTTACTTTGCTCGATTTTTAACTTTTCTTTTTACATAATTTTTTCACCAAACTAGAAATAAATATTTCACCATGAGTACGAACGAAAAACGTTTCTAAAAAACATTTGGCCTTCCAAGGTCAAATATAACCACTTTCATTCCAACTGAAATAATATGCAAATCATTCGCGCTATCCCTACAAAAGTACACAGGGTGTCTGGGATTTTTGAGGGTTTCCTCCCCCTTTTGAAAAATCCTGGCTACGCCCCTGATCTCGGTGATCTTCAATTTTAGATTTCGTCTAGGGGTCCACAACCAATATTTCCCATCCCACCCCGCTCTTATCCATATCTACTCTACCATAAACTCCTTACTGCTCTTCCCTAGGATTGCTCACACTTATTAATAAATTGTAACTTATAAGACTGCAGTTTATAACATCAGTAATGCAACGTAAGACTGCCGATAGTAGAACTATAAACCATCAAAAGCTGAATTGTCACAGAAAAATGAAGATTACAGGGCCAGTTATTCAAACAAAGATTATCCATTGTTTAAAGTACGCTCTAAGCTATCTTCGATTGAGCCGAGGAAAAATCAGCGGCCAGGTAATCTTATGGGTTGAAGGACCGCAATAAACTCTTCCCGCTGATTACCACACATTTCCTGTGATTTTAAACTTGAAAAGTTAGGTTGAATTATATAATATTCCCGTGTTGCTATTTCTCTTCAATCTCATTATCTTTCTGTTTGAAAACGAATCGATGCTGTTAGGAGAAAATCGCGTTTGGTCACACTTTGCTGAGGAGGTACATAATCACAGCGCCCTCTCGGAATAATAATGGATTACTGTAGAATACTTAGTCATTTTCGCGAGGAATAGATTCAGTTGTTTTCTTATTTTGAGGCTTGTTTCTTCATGTGAGTCAGTCATTTGGGAAAATGTGATGCAATCTTGAGCCTGCTTGCAATTATCATTTGAAAATTGGTCACCAATACACGCAAGAGTTTGATGCACACAAAATCAGCCCAAGCACGTATTGCAGTCCTACCTTTTGAAGGACTTAACCTCCAAACACATCTTATGTTGAATACGTGATTAATTTAAATTGACTTTTAACAAGTTTCATGGGTGTTTTTACTCAAGATTCACGCGTAATTGATCATATCAATCAAGCGTATAATATGCACAGTTAGTAATATGCAAAATTCGTGAATAAATAATTGAAACGCAACCGCTTCATATTATTTAATATATTCTAACAGTCGATTTTCTAACCCGATAAGTTACATGTGTTTTACTCCTAAATAATTGTTGATAGGTTGAAAATATTCAGAACTCATTAAATCGTAATTTCTCATCAGAATTTCCTGTCTCCTGTCAATAATTCCCAAGCGTAACGAAGGATTTAATCCGCACCACTTAAAATTGTTTATTTCTGATTGGGTTGTTTTTTGAAGCGTACATATTTGAAAAGCATATCTTGCTTAGTTTTTATTTACGTGGGCGAGTGGTAAACTCATAGACTCAAAAAATATTCAGTCTGTTTCGCGCGTTCATTTCACCGAGATTCGAGTTTGCAGAGAAAAAAACAGAGAGAGAATGGCACCTAAAAATTCTACAACAGCCGAGGCAGAAAACACATACCTAACAAAGACGAGCACCAATGGAAGAAATACAGAACGTCCGCCGCTTCAGATAGTCTGGCTTAATGTCTACCTGATAACTGCCTTGCATGGAATGGCATTATATGGTCTTTATATCCTCCCTAGGACAAAACCATGGACATGGGTTTGGATGGGGGTCTGTTTCATTTTAGGAGGAGCAGGAATTACAATTGGAGCACATCGATTGTGGTCACACCGCTCATTTAAGGCAACTTGGTCTCTTAGATTATTCCTGATGTTGATGAATTGCATGAGCGCTCAAAATGACATTTTTGAATGGGTAAGAGACCATCGTGTCCACCACAAGTACTCTGAAACCGACGCCGACCCTCACAATGCCAAGAGAGGTTTCTTTTTCTCGCACGTCGGATGGCTGATGGTCAGAAAACATCCTGATGTCAGAACGAAGGGAAAACAGATCGATATGAGTGATCTGTACGCTGATAATATCGTAATGTTTCAAAGAAGGTAAGTGAAAACCACTCTTTGTCTTCAGGTCATTAAGAAATAACGACTACAACAGAGATATCCCGATGGACACAGGCCCTGCAATTGTCTGTCAGAAAATAATTTCAAGATGTTATCGAACATCAGCTTACGTCCAAAACATTTTACAAAATCCTTACAGTGAAGTATTGTATAACTCTTTCCGCTGCAATGCTTTCTACACACACCCTGTTCGACATTTGCCCGCCCCTCTCCACCCTCGTAACAATAAACGACCTCCTGTCCTCCTTGGAACATGGTGGAACAAGTGTATTGTCAAATATATTGAGTCATTTATGAACACATTTATTCATTGATATAGTTCTTTGATACTGGACTAATAAACTTAAATTTTACGCTTGGAATCATGATGTCGTGAATATACAGATAAGCGAATACACGACCTGAATGAACAAATGAATAAATGAACTGATGAATGAAAAAGTGGATGGGTACATGTGTAAACGGAATCAAAACAAAAGTAATAACAATAGTAAGCGTACAAATTAGCATTTAAAGCATAAATGTATTTTACGAAAAAAATCAGTAAGTGCGCTCAAATTTAGTCGTTTCTTTTTTTTTTAACCCCAGGCACTACAAGCCCCTCACGATAATCTTCAACATCATTCTTCCAACTCTGGTTCCATGGTACTTCTGGAATGAAGCGTTATGGAACTCGTTTTTCGTTTGTTTTGCGTTTCGTTACGCTTATTTACTCAATGTCACGTGGAGCGTGAACAGTTTTGCCCATATATGGGGATCACGACCTTACGACGAAGCCATAAGCCCTTCGCAGAACCTTGTCGCTAATCTTGGTACACTCGGTGAAGGCTACCACAACTTTCATCACTGTTTTCCTCAAGACTATGCTACATCTGAACTGGGTACTTATATCAACTTGTCTAAATTTTTTATAGATTGTTTCGCTCTTGTCGGGCTGGCTTATGACTTAAAGACAACTTCTAAGGAAGCTGTGTTACAACGCAGGAGGCGTACGGGAGATTTAAGAAACCAAAAACATTAGGGGGATAAATATTTACCAGAGATTACGAGACATCATCTTTTCCCTTTTTTCCTCTTGATATTTAGCAATTAGTGAATTTCATTCATGAAATAAGTTTTTGTATGCGTGACATAATTTGAAACCTTTTTAAAAGTATTCGGACACTGTTTCTTTCATCTGTTGTAGCTAGGTGTGAAAAGATGAAAACACAACCTCACTCCCCCCATCCCCTCCCATACGAATGTTGTCTTTGAAGGTATCAATGCTGCTAGGAAATCACATTGTGCCTGGGAGGGAGGGGAAGGGAAGAGTAAGTAATGTTACAAGGAGGGGAGGGTAAGTAATGTTACAAGGAATGCAATTATACAAGTATGCTATTTATTTGATCCTGTTCAAATTTAAGGTGATAATTCATTATCTGTTTGAATTTTTGTAAAGTTGTCTTGAGGACTTTTGGTGAGGTTAACTTACAGTTCAGAGCAACCTTAAATTACCAAAGAGTTAAGGTGACCCTGAACTTCGTTGAGAAGTATGTAGGCATGTTCATTGATACCATTTCTGTCACACATCGGTGCTAAAAGTATTTGTTACACCCATATTATATCAGGTAGCACTAAACTTAAGGGCCAAATGATAATTTAACCATCCTTCATTCAACTGAGCCCTTATCTAATCATGCTACGGAAGGCGGCATGACAAGTTAACCAGGTTTTATCAACTGAATTCCCAAAGCTAACGTCTCGACCGTTAGTCCTTCGTTAGAGCGAATCTGGGATAAAGAAGCTTATATGAAAGCCTCGGTTGAAACATATACACCATTAACATGTCAAGATTGATGCGGAGAAGTTTAGTTACAATCTGACTCATTACATTAGAAAAAAAATCCAGCCACATTAACAATAGAAAGAAGGTTGTATTTGTATCCGTTCACTCTTACTTACATGATATATATGTACCCCATGATATTGATTTTATTCCTATCAGTTCTACCACTAAAGCTGATTTTAAAATCAAATAAACACCGCTTTGTCATGAAGCACTGATATTATCCGAATAAAATGAATTTCCTCATGATTTTTAATCTATTGGTTAAGAATAACCGCTAAAAGTCTCGAAAACTAATATTAATTATAAGCTTTTCGGCAAGCCGCTGCTTTTACCGTGAAATTTACCTTAACGTGACATGCATGACAGCCAATATAGCCCTTAACACAACAAGCCAACCCGTGACTCAGTAAGATTAAAACAAGCACCGCGTGACATAACGCTTGCTGTCTGCAACATCAAAATCTACTCCCTGCATTTACAGATAAATATAGTTACATCATTAATCCATTAGAGATTTATTTTTACTGCAACAAGGTACACGAAGATATAAAGGATGTTTCCTTACTTCGACTACTCTGCCACACTAAAAAAAAATACTATTATGGGATAAAACTCCCCTTGGACATTCTAAAGCTCCTAAAATGAAGTATACCTTGGTGCAAGGCTGCCGTTGCAATCCATGATGAATTTAAAATCATGGATGAAAAAAATTACGCTTTGAATATTACCTTATAAGTTACCTGTCCCGATAGAAGTTTAACTGTACAACGTTTGCAAAACTTTTACTCGTTCATGAAATGAGATTATTGCAATTAAATATCCAAACAAAGCAAAATGGGATCAACTAAAACACCGACAAATAACTCAGTCTCATAGAGCCATCTACAAGAAACGAAATGCGCTTTAGAGAGAATAACTCTTTACTCGAGTAGCATGACACTCTTTGTATTTTCCGTCACTTGTTCTCAGAGAAGAAAAAAAATCAATTTGCAACACAATGGTTCCAGTGTAGGACCCAATATCGTCACAGATAAATCACAGTCATTTCCAACCTTCGTTGAGCCCTTGCTCCTTACAGCAGTTCTTTTATGTTCCTAGTCGTATTCTCATAATTCTCAATTCTCACCCCCTAATATCTTGCTTTTGCTTACAAAAAGTGGAAACAAATTTGAATCATATCAAAATATTGGAAAAAAAAAGTTATTTTTCTCACAATGCAGTCACTTCAGGAATGGATCACGATCACTGCGGTGGAGGAAAGAATACGCGTAACCTTCTGATAAAAAAACTAGCCAATCACAGCCGAGTGATAAAAAACTAGCCAATCACAGCTGAAAATACTGAATCACGAAAGGATGCGTATCGAGTCGACCTCATCGCCTGAAGAAGACTAGTAGGATGCAGTCAGTCGAAACGTCGTGATCTGCCTCGGAAGCGACTACATCGGGAAATAAACGCTAATTCTTCGCTACTAGTGAGTCACATTTGGATACCTAAATTTGACTCAGATTTCAGAAGACCTTGAGGATTTGTGGATTTCTGTGATATCTCTCATCTAGTTGGTGATAAAACTTAATCAGGTCGTCTATTTACACAGACTATTGAAGAGAAAATGTTGAAATTTCAAGTTGTAGGTACGACTTACAATTACACTAGATTTTCTTGGTATTACGTTTTACTAATTGAGAAACAATGTTATCCCAGATTGGCCTTTCTATTACCATTACGCAAACTCAGAAGAAGTTCAAAAGGTTTCCTATGGCAAAGTTGTGATCAGAGCCAATTTTGGTAGTGCCCTGTGACACACGTCTGTGTGTAGGGTGCCACAGTGATTAGTGTGTCTATTGGATAACTAACCCCAGTCCGCGTTGCGGTGGAAATGGTGGTCAGTGATGCAGGGTCTAGAGACATGCCATTCATATCTCCGATCCGTTTAGTGGAGTCCATAAAAGATGACATATAGTTCTGCGAATTAACTAAAGCAAGGTTGGATGAAAGGCCATTTCCAGAAGTTAGAAGTGGATGAAAGGGAGGCATGAAAAAACTTGGATATGTTGGAAAAGGAACACCGAACTTGTAAGGACTGTAGTTGAATAGACGGTTGGCCGCCATTGAGAGGTCAAGGTAGGATCTTTCCGGCCCAGCGGAAAGTTTCTCTCTGATCCCTGCAGAGTGAGCAAATGGAGGCAAAAATGGGAACCTTGGCGACATAGGGACATTGGGTGACTGAAACGTAGGCTCTGAGACAGAATGGTGCCTCGCAGGGACATCACGATCCTTCTCAGATGACCGAACATGCGAAGGAACTTGACGAGACGTGTCTGCTTCTCTTTCATCCTGTGCATTGGAGATTGGTTTCTCGTCCCCGAGAATGCTGCTTATTCTATAGGATGACGACGAACCCGTGGTGGATTTCTCTCCTCTGTTGTTATTGTCATCCCCTAACAGCCTCGAGACACTGAAGTTAGTACCGGTGTTAAGGCGTTCCTCTGGCCGTTTGGCCGAGGATGGTTCTGTCACAACATCTAATCCTCTGTTGTCAGAATTAACAATTCTCTCAGGAATTATTCCATTGGAAGAGGAGAATATTTTGAGTCCTTCGCTCTGCGATGGCTCTCGGTGGTTCATGTCGGCGTTTTGAACAGGTGGAACTTTATTTGGTTCTACTCTACTTGTAATGTGTGAAGACACATTAGAAGGAAATGACGAACCTTTGGACCCTTCGTTGTTTTGATGAACGTGATGCATAGATCCCCAGATTTGCTGCCGCGGGTCGGAAGAGACTTCCTTGTTCTGGTGCTTATTACTCTGTGGGATACTCATGGAATTTATCCCAATCTGTCCCTGACGAGACCGTTCGGGAGCAAACTCAATTCCGTTGCGCAGTTGACTATGTTGCTCTGGTTTGGTGGAAGACAAGTTAGATAGGATTTCTTTCGCGGTATCTTTCGCACCGTGGACATCTGCTTCTATTCGTTGAGGAAACTTCGAACCATTTAAGTCGTTTGGACCTCTTATTACACCTTCTGGCGGACTGTCCGCGCCATTTTGTGCAAGAACACTGGTATTCACCGACGCCAGCTCTAAAGAATGGCCCGCACTAGAATTACGCTTGTTTGTGACACCAGGATCTATGTCCGCTCTAGACAGAGCTGTTTCCGCAAGCATGTCCAGATAGCCCAACTCTCTTTCTTCTTCTTTAAGGTCTACAGATGCGTCCTTCTCAGTTCCATCCACCTCCATGCTGGCTACCTCTCCCTCCAACTTCTTTCGAGCCACTTTCTGCTCCCACTCGCCCAAGCCGTGCAGAGTGAGGTTCATGTGTTTGTGCTGATAAAACACCAAGCTAATCCGAGTGGGATTCTGTCTTTGGGGGTTCCTGAGAGGCGTAGTTGCATGAAGTTCTTTCTTGGCTACCTCGATTAGAAGTGATCCATGAGTAAGAGCGATAGCCACTCCTCCCATATTCTCCTCAATCAGGAATGGTTTCCGTGCCTGTCCCGAGCTTCCAACATCTTTTCCACTGCCTTTGCGATTTTCTACTTCTTTTATGTTGGCATTTTCATCCAGGGGTACACTACTCGAGGCTCTCATGAGTGGTACTTCTTTGTCATCAACCCACTTGATCTGAGAAGGCCCCCTTGTGGCCTCACCATTGTAGTGGTGAATGACAGTCTTTGGTTTGGCATACTCGACACCTCTATTTGACGGTGCATTGTTCATTGGAAACGACTTACCGAAAGGCATTCGACAATTCCAGGTCCCACCCATAAAAGGAACCTTTGTGTCGTAGTTACCATAATTGTCGAAGTTGTTACTCGAGTTGTGAAAGTGATTCAAGTGTCCCGGATTTCGATACAAATATGGAATACGGTTTTCGTCTACCCAGTGCACCTCGGGCGCCCGGCAATGGTTAAGAACATAATTGTTACCAAGATGCGGGTGAAATTGAAACATTGGCGACCCGTGGGGGTGGGGATAGTGTCCGTTAAAACAGTTGTTCATCATCTGATTAGAAGAGGCATGGTGGTGAATCACCGAGTTTGGAAAGCCATGCATCGACTGCGCATGTCCGTGAGGAATGCTATGCCCATCGAAGGGTACATATGGTCCATTACTACTTTTGTTGTTGTTGTTCAGATCCTGAAAGACTTCTTTACGTCCTTCTTTGGGCTGTGGATCGTGGTTACTCACTGCTTTGCTAGCCTTTGGGGAATTCTCTTGTCCTGTTACCGTGGAGTAGCCTGGGGAGACACCCACAGGAGGTTCAAGGAAATGGGCAGGCATGACGTAATTGGGTCGCACAGGCGCACCATCCTTGTCCAGCAAGCGGTACAACGGCAAAACATGAAGTTGTTCTTCGTCTGACGAAATTGCCTCTGGCTTCAGAAGCGAGCACACCTGCAGCAATAAATAAAAAAAAGCAACAACGAATAAGAAGAACTACCTTGAATAAAATTCTATCGTTTCGTCGTCTGCAATCTGCTTTATCCTTTGTCATCCTCATCTCTTTCAAATGTACTTTTGATGAACACGCACTAATAAAACAGGATTAGTTACCAGGGTTGCTCCACCGTCCATATTTCTGGAGTCCTTGTGGCTATGTGCACAGAAATCCACGC